ATACATACATACATACATACATACATACATACATACATACATACATACATACATACATGCATATATATATATATATATAGATAGATAGGTATAGATAAATAGATAGAGAGAGGGAGAGAGAAATAAATTGGGATATGGCATGAGTTGAATAGGAGCTGCAACCACCCTATTTTGTTTAAAGTTGTACTTTCCCAAAATCATATGAGTAGGCCTCCTATTTCCACTGAAATTCACATATAATTGCTTCCTAAAAGATGTTCTGGACGAGGCCGAAACGGCAGTATGCGATACACAATGCCAGCTACCTCCTCGACGGGGATTCTTTGTCGCCTGTCTACAGGGATCTACACCTTTTCATCTCATTGCACCGACGGTTTGTTGGCCAGAGATCCGGATTGCCCAGCGCGTTGTGGGTTGGTAAAAGAGGGCTCGTTAGATCGTTTCCTGCATCGGCCGACACTACGACAATCAGGCGTCTTTGTGCATTCAGTTGAGAGCATGCTTTATGAAGAGAAGAGGATTGCATATTCGCAGTTTCATGAAAGTATTTGGATGAGACTGCCTAACCTTGGCAACACATGCGACTCTTTTTATTAGCCCTCATTGTCCAGAAAAGTCGATCGTCTTCTCTCATCTTCTTTTCGGTGTGAAAACTTCACAAAAATACATTCGCGAGTTTGTCTCAGCAAATGTCGCAAGAGTGCCTCTGGCCAGCCCTGAAATCCACCGGCAACACCACACCTCGCAACACACGAGTCGTTGTCGAGCTGTCTTTCGGCTATCCTCGTGTAGGTGTGTGTGCACACACACAATGAGCAAGTTCCTTCCATATCTTCGGGTATTGACATAGTTGTTGTCTGTTCATTGGCCTAAGCATGACTGAATGATTGATTAAAGGAGGGATTGAGCATGTTTGCGCACATTCACGTATTTATTTGTACACTTTCTTGCCTCTAGCATTTGCGTGTACATGTTTGCTTGCCCGTGTGCATGTATGAATGTGTGCCAGTTCTTGTGTGAGGATATTGGATGTGGGATGTGGATGGGTGTGCATAGCTGTGTTGGATGGAATTGAAGCAACGGGAAAACGAAAAGAGCCAGTGCTTCATGTTACTATTTGGTTGTGGGATCTCAATGTCGAGGCATGTTGTGGCTGCCAAACCCTCGGTGAACAACATGTGTACTAGTCAGGCACCCTCCGATTAGATTTGTTGCCTTCCTTACCCGTTGGATATTTTGGCATCCTGTTGCCACAACATGATATATATGCATATATTCGAATCATTCACATTAACTCCCTTACATTGAAGCGCTTGCTTGTGGAGGAATGTATACGGCGACTAAAAAGGTGTTTACTTTTTTGTTTATAAGTAGTTGCTGCATCGATTTTGCCGGAAAGGACTACCGATTCCTGGCACAGACAGACGAAGAGTGCGTGCTTTTTCTCTTCTCCTCCCTCTCTCTCTCTCTCTCTCTCTCTCTTTCATTTACAATAAGCTGATGAGACGAGGTTTCCTTCTCTCCCTCTTTTAGTTCAAGTATTCAGTAATCAGCCAACAAGAATCCCTTAATCTGCTGGTATGCGAGTGAAAATGTAGAAATTATAAAATCTGATTTTTATTTTTTTCAACGCTAGTGCCTTGGTACACAGTTTCACCATCTTTGTGTCTTGCCGCACTTCACACCCTAAATTGGTCGGTGACCGGCCTATAGTAGGAGCTTTTTAGAGGGAGGGAGTAAGAGTGTTTTTAACATGTTTTGCTGTTGCCCACGGTTTAGTATTGCAGCCATCACGAGCCCGATTGTTGTAGAGGTGCATCAGTTTTGGCTGATTTTTCCATCTCACCATTAGGAAGGCTGCTCACGGTGAAGTGAAGTGAAGACCTGATTCTGCGCCACATTTCACTGCATCGTGTACCGGGCCTGACCGGACCGGACAAGCAAAGCTCCGACTTCCTTTTGCCTTCAGCGGAGCTCGAACCCCAGACAGGGTAGGAAAGGCCAAAACACGCGATCGCCCAAGTCGACACGAAAATCCCCATAAAGTGATGTGACACCGAGAGAAGCTTGCTTCACCTTGACAGTCCTCCAGTTCGACTGTCGCGAAGGTCGCTGCCAGGACGATGAGGCAGTGTCGAAATTGCATTCTCAACCGAAATGGCATTTTGGGAAGTTTGACAAAGTCATGCCATTTGACGTTTTAAACTGTTGTTGACGTTGTGGTATCACTCCTGGATTTTGTGACTTTAAGCGACATTTCCATTCAGATAGGATTAATTAGATTCTTCATCAGACTTCCTTGCATAAAGTAAATGAAACCTATGCTATAGAAAGGAATAGGCTATTTAGGTTTATAGATATTAAGTAAAATCTCTGGCGTGCTCTGGCCAGGATTCCGAGTCGGGAGGATTTTCACAAACTCCAGCGTATGGCTGACAAAAAATCACGTAGGAGCTCTGACCTTAAAAGAATAAATTGCTTATGTATAGAAGTATAAGACAACGAAGCGTAAAGCCAGTGCGCCCAGTTGAAGGGGCTTCCAAGGCGACGGCATCTACTGAACAGTACCACGAATGGAACAGGCTGGTGAATGTATCCCCACCTTCCCTTGATCCTGAAATCATTACGATCCTAAATAAAAGACTAAACCTATCTCATCAAAATGACAGAAACATTCTAGAAGACATTCTGGTTGAGTTCATCAGTATCTCTGACAAGTTCTCTCAAGAGACAAAACGGGAAATGGAGATGGAAATAATCCCTAGAATCTTGACACATTATGAACCAATACACAAGAACAAATTAACAAGGATACGATGAAGCCTAGAAAGGAATACTTAATTGGTCCTTCAGGCGGAAAAACGAGGAGCGATAGTTG